GTGCAAGCTTGTGCTGACATCAGAAATGACAAAAAGAAAAAAATTCTGGGTAACTTAGCCTCTTGTTGTTCCCATATAAAATAGTGGAAAAAATAGCATGGAATTTAACTGAAACAAGGATAGTAAGGATTATTATTACATCTATCAGAACAATTCTCAGAATTGAAATCTTGGCCATCTATACATTAACTTATTACAGAATAACAGCTGAAAATTCATAGCCACCAACACACAAATCTCAATAGATTATCAAACATTTTATTCTGTTCTTAAACTACTATGTGCATATTCTAAGATCACATGGATAAGAATAAGAACTTCGAAGAAACCATCATACTACCATGACACTTCCTTAGGGCGATATATAAACTTTAGAACTTCTGCACAGTGAAGCTACATCAAAACAAGAAACTGTGGGTTCAGAGCAGCAGTGCTGTGACATTAATTATGCTCCAGAGTGGCGTTTACCTACGTTTCAATGATGCCACTTCTGACCTCCAACCTACACTGCTGCTTCTCCTTAATGAGAGTTTTACAGTACTGCAAGTGTGGAATGAGGAAACAAGATGCATGTAATATCCCTTTACAACAGCACCCTGCCTTCCATCAGCCTACAGTGCTATTGATTTGAAAAAGGGCAGAAAAACAAGAAAGAAAAATCAAAGGATGAAAAACAAAAGAAAAAAGAAAAAAATTTAAGAGAGCCAAACAAAAACTTATCAAAAAAGTAGACATTCTGTAAAGAACTACATTCTTCACTATGTGTCCAACTTATACACTAGTTGAAAATCTACAGTATTTGCTTATTTCAAAACACTGTCAACATTAAAATACATTATTTCATATCCTTATTAGACATAATTTATTAATCTATTCTTACTAATGCATGGATGTCTACTGAATTGTGTTCTTCCACATTTTCAAGATCTGCTATTTCTGCACTTATTGCTCGTATTTTTATCTGAAAAGAAAAAGAAAAGAAATATTCTTAAGCTTCTCTTTAGATAAGAGCTCACATTTGTTCATGTAAGTCAACATAGAAAGCAAGATACTCGGTCTTTTAGTTTCACTAGTGCCTACAAAAGACAGAACGCTTCCCACTTACCTATGGGATCCATTTTTATAAGATATAACTTGTTCTGAAAGTCACATGCACTTTAAATCATAACATGACAACTAAAATATATTTTCCTCTTCCTTCAAATATTTATCTTCAGCAATTTGCGTCTAAATGCCAAGTTTTTTGCTGGTTCTTATTTGTAGCTTACTGAATATTACCTTATACTGCTTAACTAACATCATTGGCTACCATAAATAGATACCCTGCCTGGAAGTACTGGGGGGGGGAAAAAAAAAAAAAAAAAAAAAAAAAAGAGACAACTAATAGATGTAAAATAGCTTATAAATAAACTAACATTAAGAAAACTTAAAGGTGAAATATTCAGCATATTAAGATGGGTTAAGAATATAAACAAAGAACATGAAGAGAAACAAGATTCTGGGAATGAAGAGGCAAGTCTTGAGAAATAAAGGAGGGGGAAGCAGGGAAAAGAAACTTGCATCAAGTATTGCAACAAGTTCCTATTTATGTCAAAAAAAGCAGTAGAAATTTGTGAGATTTAGCACAAGAGGGGAAAAAAAAAAACCATACAGAAACAACAGCATATGCTAGGATTGATGTGGCCTCTATCATTCTGTCCTAAATAACGAAAGCATACTACAGAAGTAAAAAACAAAATATCATCCACTGAAAATATACTGCAGAAGTCAAAATTAAATAGGGAATGACTGACCAGGGTCTAGTAACTAATACTGTACCTATTTTTACCTGTAGTTCTTTTTGGCGTTGTTGATGACCATGGAGATGACCTTCGTTCTGCTTAATCTCATTTTGAATGGAATATAAACGTTGCTGAGATGCTGTTAACTTTGCCTTTTGGTTTTCAACTTCTTTCTCCAAGTGACTTTATAGACGAAGTGATATTGAGATATCATATATTACATATATATAATTACACACACACAGAAATACACAAATAAAAATTCAATGTATGACAAGGCAAAGAATAAAAATGCACTTGCATAAAAAATAAAATCTTACATTTGTTATGCACTGGATAGTTTTAACGATCAATAGAAGCACCAAAGCTCAACAGCAAAACTCACAGTTAATAACCAGCAGATAGTGGCTTGATGGTCCTACTTCAATGCCTAGCAGATAAACCATTCATGTAACTTGAACCATCTGTAACCTCTGTTAACAATTTTCGCAAACAGGCCAAATGTTTGAACTAAACAGTGGCGTTACTTCTAAAAATACTACTGAGTCTTGAAAGAAAACAAATACTTTGACTAGGACAACACAATTCTACTTAGAGAGAAAATACATTAACAGAGATGGGAAAAAATATTTTATATAGTCTTATACTTTTCCTTCTACAAAGGAGATCATGTCCAGAGACTTCCATAATTAACTCTTTCAGTTTGTGGTAAAACTATTTGAAATGCAAAACAATGCTTTTTTTGTTATTATTTATAGATGCAAGAACTTTGATAGAATCTTTCACACCTGAAAAGAAAGGGGAAGCTTTACTAATGTTCCAGTAAAAAAACTATAACCTTAATACAAGTGTCTAATCCAACTTTTGTAATAGATACATGAAATGGACTAATTAAGTCTGATCCCAGAATCAGTGTTTAATAAATTGAATAGACTATTCGAGATAAATATGTTATTGCTTTAGGATAAGTTCTGAAGGGGGGGGTGGGGGTGGTGGAAAGAGACATCTTTCTGTTTTAACTGGCCTACATCATGTCCGCATTGCAATATTGGTAATGAAATGCCTTTAACACTTTGAAAGTTAAGATAATCTTTGAGTGAAGTTCATTATATACTGACATGAACAATGTACCATTAACTAACATATTTAAAACTTTTGACTTTACAAAAATAATTTTTTAACATTCAATTCAGTCTACACTATCAGCTATTAATATCAAAATTAAAATTTTTACTGTCTGCAATATAATCTGAGCCTCAAAATAAAAATGTTCTACTGTCACCAATTTGCTTGGTGACAGTTCAGGTTTGTAAACTTTCAAATATATTTAGCTTTTTAAAATATCATTTTGATACGAAAAAATGGAGGTGGGGGAAGGCCAAATTTAACCAGAGAGACCTACCATAAGTGAAGTCAAAAGCCTGAGAAAACACAGATGAAGTGTTTGAAACCAATTTGAAACCAGTAGGACTATATGTGCCAATATAACTTTTGTTTGAATAATCAGGCTTCATTTACAGTAAACTACAATACCACTATTCAGGTATTAGATTTTTAAAGAAATAGCTTTGACTCCATGCTGTTCAGCAAGCAGAAAATATAATGGAAGGTAGCCAGATTTCCTGGAGTATTCAGCCCAGAAATCCCTACCTGCTGGGCAAGATTTACATGCCACAAGCTGAAAAATATCTAGGTACAACTCAGGTTTGTACCTATCATAGAAAGGCATGGACATAAAGAGGTTTTCCAGAATTCTCTGACAGGAAGCATAAATCTCAAAAAGAAAATGGAGACTGGAGAGTAGTGTACACGCAAATAGACAAATAGGCAGTTCCACTCTTCATGTCCAAGTGCAATTTTTACAAATACAACATCACAAGATTCTAACCTTATTTCTGCTTCAATGTCTTTGCTTAGGAACTTGGGTCTGAAGTAATTAGAAGAGTAATACCGTCTTTCAAATACTTGATCCCCTTCAGCAGTGAAGGCTTCTCTACAATTTTGGGGTGGCCGATTAAGCTGCATTACTTCACGAGCTTTATGGCTGCTCTGAAAAATACAATATCCTAATCACACCAATAGAAAAGCAACCATAAACACAGCAATTTAAAACTTGTCTAGAAGATCTCCCCTATAAATTATTTCAATTTCTAATGCAAAAAAGAGATATGGTAATGAAAGAATGTGAAAAAAAAAAATCTGTAATATGAAGAATCTGCTTTTCTTAGTTGAATAAGACATTTATGTTCTAAAAAGCCACCCACATGGTTTAGCTGTCCATTTTTTTTAATCTATTACAAATTTATCCACGTTGCAAATTCCACAGGCTAATTAGCCCCTTATAATTTGCTGGGGGTGGGGGT